GTAAACCCCATTTCACCCTGTTTCTGAGTTTGACTTTTTAGATTCCACATCTGAGTGATATCACATGGCATTTGTCTTTCTGTGCCTGGCTTCTTTCACTTAGCATAATGTCGTCCATGCTGTCACAAATGGCAGGATTTCCTTCCCTTTTATGGTTGAGTAGTACTCCATTGTGTACATATACCACACTTGCTTTATCCATTCATCTGCTGATGGACACTTAGGTTGATTTCATATCTTGGCTACTGTGAATAGTGCTGCAGTCACCCTGCGAGTCTCTTAAACATTCTGATTTCACTTCCTTTGAATATATACCCAGTAGTAGGATTGTTGGATCATGTGGTTAGTTCTATTATTAATTTTTTGAGAAACCTTCATACTGTTGTCAATAACAGCTGTACTAATTTACATTCCCACCAACATCATGCAAAAGTTCCCTTTTCTCTACATCCTCAACAACATGCATCATTTGTCTTTTTCATAATAATCATTCTGACAGGTGAGAGGTGATAACTTACTATGGTTTTAATTTTGTGTTTCCCTGATGATCAGTGATGTTGAGCATTTTTCATACGACTGTTGGACATTTTTATGTCTTCTCTGGAGAAATGTCTATTCAAACCTTGGACCGTTTTTCAATTGGGTTGTTTTCTTGCTATTGATTTGTTTTAATTCCTTATCTACAGTCATACACTGCATAATGATCTTTCAGTCAACCACAGATGGCCTACTTATTTGTTTCTGCCTCCATATGCTTGTGTAGATAGTCTTCCTTGGAAGATCTATCCTTCCTTTTCTTGGCCAATCTGAATACTGGCATTCAGATCATGGCTAAAAATAAATGTTAGCCATCCCTTGAAGATGTGTTCCCATAAGATTATAATCTATTTTTACTGTACCTTTTCTATGTTATCATTGTGCCACAATTGCCTACAGTATTCAGTACAGTAACATGCTCTATAGGTTTGTAGCCTAGGGGCAATATAGAGCCTAGATGTGTAGCCTATGTGTGTAGTAGGCTATACCATCTAGGTTTGTTGACATATGTTCTATGATGTTTGCACAAAAACATTACCTAACAATGCATTTCTCAGAATGTATCCCATTGTTAAGTGATGCATGACTGTATTTTGGATATTAGTCTTTTATCAGATGTACAATTTGCAAATATTTTCTCTTATTTTGTAGGTTGTCTCTTCACTCTGATGACTGTTTCCTTTATTGTGCAGAAGTTTTTAGTTTGATGTAATCCAATTTTATCTATTTTGGCTTTTGTTGTCTGTGTTTTTAAGTTCATATCCAAAAAAATCATTGTCCAGACCAATGTCATGGAGCTTTCCCCCATGTTTTTTCCTAGTAGTTCATAGTTTGAGGCCTTCCATTTAAGATTTTAATTCATTTGGAGTTGATTTTTGTATATGGTATGAGATAAGGATTTAATCTCATGTTTATGCATGTGGAAATCCAGTTTTCCCACTACCATTTATAGAAGAGACTGTCCTTTTCTCATTGTGTGTTCTTGGTATCTTTGTTGAAAACCAGTTGTCTATAAATAGGTGGATGTATGTTTGGGCTCTCCATTCTGTTCCATTGGTCTATGTGTCTGTTTTTATGCTAGTACCATGCTGTTTTGCTTATTATAATTTTGTAGTGTATTTCTTAGGTCAGGTCCAGCTTTATTCTTTTTGTTCAAGATTTCTTTGGCTATTCAGGGTCTTTTGTGGTTCCACATAAACTCTAGGTGTGGATGTATTGTTTAACAAACAAATAGTGCTTCCATACTACCTAAAACAATGAAATTTTAACTTACAGGTGTACGATCACTCCATTGCCAGGATCCTTGTAAATCTGGGCTCCTTTTATTCAAACCAATCCACAGCCAGTGCTGGCCACTGTGTAAAAAGCAAGTGTTAAAAATATGAGGACAATGCTTCGCAAAAATATTTAGCATTTACATGTCTAAAGTGCTTTAGATAAGTAAGTTTATTCAGAAGCACTTGTCACTAATTGAAAAGCATAGTTTCAAGCAACATAAAGAAGTCTCTTGAAATGAAACTAAGCCCTTAATATGGGGTAGCTACAGAAAAAGTACCATACTTTTAAAACTACATTTTAAGCTGTTTTCTTCACATGAAAGGCAAAAACTATTCTACTTTGAATTTTAAGAAGAAAAAAAATGGAAATTGTTCCAAGGCTTTTACTGTAGTGCTTGAATATTAGACAGCATTTTCAGATACAGTCAAAAGCAACAATGGCATTTCTTTAAAGTGTTTGTCTGTAACACTATCAAATATTATTCTTTAAAATGCAGAACAAACAATTTGGCTAAATTTTTATCAAACAATATTTGAAACATAGTTGACTTCCCACTGCCCACTAAGTTTAAAGTATTGTCTATGTGCCAAAGAAATATACCAGAGAAATATATGAAGCAATCAGATAAGTGATTATACTCATCACTTATATTTATTATACTTTTATGTAAAAGGTACTGAGCTAGGTGCAATGAGGACACAGAGAAGTATAAGACCTAATATCTACCCTCAAATGTAATATAAAATAGAGAGATAAGATATATTATGAACAAAAAAGGAAAGACCAATTATGAAAGCTATCAAATGAGTTGTATACATTTTAGGTTATACAAAAGTTCAGAAAAAGGAGAGGTCACTGTGGACTGCAGAAAATGAAGAAAGACTTTGTGAGGTTGGTAGGACAAAAGATATTCTTCAAGGGATGGCTAACATTTCTGTCTAGCCATGATCTGAATGCCAGTATTCAGACTGGCCAAGAGGAAGAAGGGTAGGCCTTCCAAGGAAGACTATCTATACAAACATATAGAGGCAGGAACACACATGTAAGTAATCCTTTCCCCTCCAATACATTTATGCTCTAGCCAGGGATAAATATCCAGCATAGGTAGACATGATATAAACATGGAAGTTTTTCCCTGCCTCCAGCTCCATTTGAAAATATTTCCTAAAATTTATTATACTTTTAGGCAACAAATAATATTCACATAATCAACCTTTTGTTGCCACATGTTACGTATGATCAGTACATCTTCATGTCTACACATATATAAATGTAATATGCCTGTAAGCATAATGCAGAATATATTTTAGAGAAGGGGTAGATTCCAACTCGAAAAACAATCCATACTCTCAAGTTCTGCAGAATATATGGAACATATAGCTATAAGTCTACAGAGAAAGATAATGAGTGAATTTTAATAAAATGTACTAGTGAATCCAAGGCTGAGGCAAAGAATTTTAAACTCATTTCTTATTTTTAATAAATGTTTTTCTTTATTTCTTACTTTGTTCAACGTTCCCTCATATTTTAATAACAATAAGTACTTTTTCATCTTTTCAACTTCAAGGCTTTTGACTTAATGCAAAGGAATATGAATGAGGACCGTTGTCTTTTGGTTTTTATTGTTATATTGTTTTCTTTTATAGAGAAAGATCCACTAATTTGTGGACTTAAGATATATCCAGTGGGGACAATTAAGTCCAGTTTAAATTTAGTAGCTACAAGAGGAATTTGCAGTTTATGCCTTTAGTTCATCAAACCTTTCTTACAGGCTTCCATCATACTGCCTGAGTTCTGGATTTCTAAACCACAGGGTCTAGACAATTGCCATATACAGCGCAATTAAAGCCAGACAGCTAAAATAGAGAGGCAGTTAAGTTTTCCTGCTCATACTTACTTGGGGGAAATAACTCCATTTCTCCCAAATCTTAGCATGTTATATATTTGGGCCTGGGGAATTCGTGTAGAATTTTGTGTTTCCCTAAAGTAAGCATTAGCTATTTTATCTTCTTTACACAATCCACAATACAACCAGGAAGATGATCAAAGATCATTTGTCACCTGCATTGCAGAGGCTCCCACTGGCGGCCTTTTTAGAGATTTGTCCTCAACTTTCTAGGCTCCTCAAGCCCTTACCCAGTCTTCTCTCAGCTAATAGCTCCCCTTCCTTCCACTGAGAAACATCTCTGCTTTCAAGCTCATTTCTGGCTCCTTTGCTGCACCTCAGAGGACAGTTTCCCAGACAAAAGAGTTTGCTCGATTGTCCAAAATTTCTAATCTCCACTACTTTCTGAAACTGAGTTTCATTTCAACACAGAAATTTATAGATTTTGGCTTTATTTTAAAGAATTCACTAGCATGTCATAAATACAGAAAATAATAGCTACTTGTCTGTATTTTTTTTTTGTGTGTGTATGGGATTAGAAGTGGAAAATATTTCCTCAATTCTAACTCATTCCTAGTTTGATAGTTTAGCTGTAGGCACAGGGAAGAAGAAATTGGATATCACATTAATCACTGCACACTTCCAATGTTGATTTTTTACCCTCACAGAAAATGTGGGAGCAAAGAAATTGCACCTGATCATAACTGGGTAATCAAGTCAACTGAGATTCCCTCTCTCTCTTTATAAATTTCTGCTTCTCCAAGCACTAAGTGTATGGTTTTAAAACTTTTAGGTTTAAAAGAGATTGCATAAAAGGTTAATATGTGTAATTATGTTGCAATTCCTATTCTCAATCAAATTTCCTGCCGCATCTGGTTGCTGAGGAAAACAGTATCTCAGCCATAACCCCCAATAAATACTATTTGATGAGGGTGCTTATTCTGCAAAGCCTTAGACTTATGTCTAAATCTATTCATGCCACATCACAGGAGGTAGTGTACACAGCAGCAATGGCATTGCAAACAAGGCTTTCTTCTCTAATCCTATGGCTATTTTTGCCCTACAATGGCTTTCCCTGTTGAGCTGCCATTAAGAGTTGCAAAGATCTTAGAGCCTTAATGATTTGGTGCACCATGAATCCTTTTCACTGAAATACAAACAGAGATGTGGAATGTAGATTGTGAGAGGTACAACATAATCTGACTTAACTCCTTGGCATGCAGTACACAATTTGGGCAATGGATATCTTGCAGAGAAAGGTCAATTCCTGCAATAAAGGGCTAAGGGATTCAAGGAGTAAGCTTTAAAATCATTTTCTAATATAAATGGGTTTGGTTCTTTCTTTCCTTTAAGCTATGGTTACAATTTTGGTTTTAGAATATGTTCAGCAAGCACAGCCCAGGCAAACGATTTCTTTATTATGGAGAAGTTATTAAGCAAATAACATAGTCTGCTTACTACGGCATTGTGTTAGCTGCTAGGATCAGAGTACAAATAAAATACTGTTCCTATGAATGAAGGGATTATGGAGATTTGTTTTTTCTCTGTGCTGTTCTGTTTTCTAAATTCTATGATCATTAATTCTATGATTAGAAAAATTTAAACATAGTATATTCTATGGAAAATAGGATTTGTAAAAGCTATATGTGCAGAGATGTAAGTAAATGGAAAGGGTTTACACTGTTTACTATGTTTATAATCAGGAGCTAGGATTTGAGGTGATTGCTTCATTAGCTGTTTTCATATTTTCCAAATTTTATATAATGAACTTGTATTAATTTTTTAATGGAGTGCTTAACAAGTGTGATTCCAAACAAAGAAATAAATCATGAAAAGTTCCTTTCATGTTAGTTTTGTTGCCCAGTGTAATTCATCCTGTATATGGATACTCTTAATGGTCATTTCTATCATATATGATATTCCATTGTTTTCTCTTTATTGTTTCTCACAAATATCTACAACCGCATTGCTTAGTACTTATCCATGTCTTCTCATTACAGTTAGAGTTACTAACCGCTTGCTTGGAATCTAGAGCTTATGTCAGTATTTACTTAAAAATACTTTACGTGGATGGTATGATATTGTGTGTGTCAAGCTTGAGATCTAAGGGGTGTTAAGTTGTCCTGCTTGAAATTTACATGTCAGGAAGAATTGGTGGTATATTAGAAAGGCCATGCTCTAGAGGTGGCCACCATGAGGACTTCCATGATCACCAAAGTCACGCTGGAGGCTTTGGTCATGAGCAGAGCAAATATGAGAACTAGATTAATGTCAGTGAAATTAGAAGCTCGTTCATTGGCATGATGGGTAGGAATGGGCTCTCATTAACGAAATGTAAGTTATTTGAGATGTAGGGATTAGCTAAAATATTTAGAGCAACTCTCACACTTCTCAAGAGTATATTAGAATCTTGTGAGGCCACAGCCCATATCTCAGTAGGGCTTGATTCTAAACAACCCCACATCCAGTCATTGGGTCAGGTGATTGTGATGGCCTGATACTGACTACAATGGGAACAGAATGCTGCCCCAGAATGTTGTCACACCTGCTTCAAGTAAACTTGTGCAAGGTGATATTTATAATACCAAAAGGACAGATTGCTGCTATGTTGTGAAGCTTACAAAACAGGCTTTATAAAATGTTTTGTGTCTGCTTCGATGAATGTTTGCATAGCAAATATCTGTATGTGTGGAAGAATTTGGTCTGAATTTTGTATTTATTATAATCTATTCTCAAGGTTGAGGGAATAGCTAACTCACCTCAAAAAGAACCCAACAGTTAATATTTAATATATACAAATTGACTTGGGTCAGTCTGCAATGAAATTTTGTATATTAATTTCTAACACCAGACAGTGAAGTCTGGAATACTTGAGGTTCTACGATAGATGCTTAATAAATAAATACTTATGGAACACAGGTATTGTATTTTACATAGGCTCCCAGTACACTGTAGTGAAACTACATTCTCTAATGAGAAAAACACAGCAGAAACTTTCTTAAAGCACATCTGGGCCAAGCGCTGTGGCTCATATTTGTGATCCCAGTGTCTTGGGAGGCTAAGGAGGGTGAATCACTTGAGCCCAGGAATCTGAGATTAGCCTGGGCAACATGGAAAAACTCCATTTCTACAAAAAATACAAAAATTAGCTGGTTGTTATGGCATGTGCCTGTAGTCTCAGCTACTTGGGAGACTTAAGTGGGGGGATTACCTGAGTCTGGGAGGTTGAGGCTGCAGTGAGCCATAATCATGCCACTGCACCTCAGCTCAAATAACAAAATAAGACCCTGTCTCATAAAACAAAACAAAACAAAAAGGAAATATGGAATATGTGATGTGGAAATTTTCAAAGAAAACATTTCATTCATTTATTTTTTAGAGACAGGGTCTCACTCTGTTGCCCAAGCTGGAGTGCAGTGGCACTATCTTGGCTCACTGTATCCTTGAACTCCTGACTCAGCCTCCTGAGTAGCCAGGACCACAGATGTGTACCACCATGCCCAGCTAATTTTTTAAATTTTTGAGGCAGGGTCTCCCTATGCTCCCCAGGCTGGTCTTGAACTGGTTTCAAGCATTCCTCTCACCTCAGGCCCCAAAGTGTTGGGATTACAGGCATAAATCACTATACTCAGCCCAAAGAAAACACTTTGAAAATCATTCAAAATCTTACTTCCTAGAGATATAACAACCATTACCCTTTTTGATGTATTTTTGCAGTCTAGTTTTAAATGTAAATAATATATTTTTACTCTTTGATAATTTACCTTTTCTTGTGCTTAATATATTATAAACATTTACACATTATAGTATTGTTTTTATCTTAATGTACAGGAGATGAATCTCAAACCAAGATTAACAATAGTGATGATACAGGGATCCTTACCTTTTTCAGACTTTCAGGGAAAATGCACTTACCAATGCTTCATCATTAAGTGTGATACGGCTACTAGTTTGAACTACTCTTCTATTTGAATAAGAATTTATGTATTAGTTATATTTACTAAATATAAGTATATATTTAAGTATTAAGCCAGGAATGAATAGATTTTACCAGATGCATTTTCAGCATCTATTAAGATGATCACATGCCATGATTTGTGATTATTAACTCAATTGCTATTTGAGTAAATATAAGACAAGCACATAACATAACCAAGGGAGGTGGGGTCAAGAAGCAATAAATTAGAGACCATGGGAAATTGGAGAGTCAGGCCCCATTTTAGGAGGCCACCAGCTACTCAGCACTAACTTATTTATTGCACAATGAAAATGTTGCTAGCTGCTTTTTTAAAATTTTAAAAAAATTTTAATTTTTAAAATTTTTAAATGATTTTTATTAGAATTTCACAATTTTGTAATACTCTGTGGCCCCCCAGGAAAAGAACATTATAGTCTTAGAGCTGGATAAATACTAATTGGCAAGCTTTGTTTTAAGTCTCTTTCAACAGTGCAGAATTGGACTTTATTATTGAACAAATTTGCAGACTTGCACTTAATCAAAACGAAAAATAAGCCGGGTGTGGTGGCTCACGACTGTAATCCCAGCACTTTGGGCAAAGGCTACCTGGATCACCTGAAGTTCAAAGTTCAAGACCAGCCTGGCCAACATGGTGAAATCCCTTCCTCTCTCTATATATATGTGTATATGCATAAATACACACACATGCACCTTGTTTTTTGTTTGGTTGTGCTTATTGACTTAAGATCAAACTCCTTCCCTGGCAAACAAGGACATTCCAATTGCATATCCAAATCCCATTTTCTAACTAATTTGTATGACTCATTTCTCCTTGACCATATCTGTACATTCTGTTCTCAGTTCCTTTGCTTATGTTTGAAATAATACGTACCTTCCAAGAATCAGCCTTCTTTATATTTTTCCTGATTATACTCCCAGAACACTCTCCCCCTCCTCTGAATTCTCAAGGCCCTTCCTTGTCTATGTTCTAGATTTTCTGCCATACATTACTGTTGGACTTGGTTAAACAAAGGGTAGGAAATATATCTCATTCATCTTTAGATTCCTCATAGTGTCTGCATATCAAGAGTGCTTGATGTTGCATGACTGCTAAGCAACAAATGACCTTTTAGATAATAAAGTATGTCAATTTTTTTTCCAACAGGGAGGGAGGGTAAGAACAGGTCAATTTTGAATATCTAGAGGACATCAAATTCAGCATAGAGAATCTCATTCTACAACCTATGAGTGCATGTTCTCACTCATAGGCAGGTGTTGAACAATGAGAACACATGGACACAGGGAGCATCACACACTGGGTCTGTTGTGGGGTACTACGGGTGGGATAGCAGGGGGTGGGGAGGTTGGGGAGAGATAACATGGGGAGAAATGCCAGATATAGGTGACGGGGGAATAGAGGCAGCAAACCACCTTGCCATGTATATACCTATGCAACGATCCTGCATGATTTGCACATGTACCCCAGGACCTAAAGTACAATAAGAAAAAGAAAGAAATTCTCATTCTAAAAGTATTACCTGAACTGGTCCATCAAAAAGTGAAGAAAATCCTTTAGTTCATCCGCATGGCTGAAGCTAGAAAGGTGTGCTCCAAGGGCTTGGCAGAATCGTTCGGCTTCTTCCCAGTTCCTCTTTCTCACAATTCTTTCTGTATGGAATACCTTAGTAAAATATAATGTTAATTTGTTTTCTGGTATAATCATAAAGTACTCCACAGTGTTAAAGTCAATTACTGTTGTGTGTGTGCCCCTGAAATGAATTCTTACAGGTGTAATGAAGGCATAGGTAAACACACATATACTGAGGCACAGACAGGTCCTGCTGAAAGTGTCAATTCAACTAAAGGCCAGCACAGGGGCCAGTCCCTGTGGTCAGATGGATGGCCTTCCTCAGCCAGGCCCAGGAATTGCTCCAACAAGAGCCATATTCTCTTGTATTCCTAGGACCTTGAAAGATATAATGAACCAGTGTGCAAGGATATAAAGGATACATATAAATGCTTTGGGAGTAGGCTTTGGCAAAGAAATGTGCTAACAACATAAATTTTGAATTTAAGATACTGAGGACCCACACAAAAATAGAACTATTTTCTGATGAGGAAGGACCAAAGAGCAGTCTACACTGGTGTGTGAACATTGACAGGAGGTGGCAAAACTAACTGGAACTTGGGCTGTTTCAAAAGAAGAAGAAAGAAGAAAGAGAAAGAAGAGGAGGAGGAGGAGGAAGAGATGATGACACAATGACAGGATGAATTATATTTGTCCCAATTCTTCTGTTCCTTGTAATATAATTAGACAGTCTCGCCACAGCCCTTTGGTGGGTGGAATATACTTCTTTGTACTTTGACATGGGGCTTGGCCATATGACTTACTGTGTTGATGGGATATTAGTGGAGGTAAAGTGAGCAGAGGCCTGAAATGTGCTTATATGGTTGGCTTGCCTTCTTGGGCTCCAGTGATATACCATGAGAACAACAAACCCCTGAAAGCTGTTGCCCTTTCAGTTTGAGCCTAGATGAAGGACTGGAGCCCAGCACATCTGACCTGAAGTTGGAAGCAGAGGTCACCATTCAAGTCCAATCTAGATCGGTTAAACCCTAGCTGGCCTGGAGATCTGCGTGAATGTGAGGCTAAATGTTTGTTGTCATAGCCAACAAATTTTGGGGTGGCATCTAATGGTTGGTTTATGGGACTAGTTGACTGATGCAGACCCCAATAAATACACACACGCATGCACACACATACACACACACACACACACAAAGATATATATTTACATATACATATATTTTTTACATCATAAGAAGTGCTGGACTTCTTAATTTGACAAGAATTAGATGAATATGAGGATCACAGGCACAGGGGCAGTATGGCAGTATGGCATACAGTATACCAACTTACTGGGAAAATAAGACCTTGGGAAGGAGCCAGTTCTGGCTTTGGCCCTGCCCTTCTGGGTAGGACACATGCAGGGTGTGGGGCAGAGCTACCTCACGCCAGAGGTTCAGCGATGCCCTGCCAAGGACTCTATGCTCCAGAGCACTTTAGTTAGGTGACATAGGATTATGGAGAAGAGCATAATTTGTACAAGGACATGAACTAGGATAGTAGAAAAAGAATTTCATTGAAGGATAGAGTGAGAATGTTACTTTACCTTATAACAAGAAAGGCTTGAGGGCAAACTCTGCCAGCCTTCAGGACAGGGTTCATCAGGCTTAGGGGCTGCTTCTTCAGGCTCAAGGGGTCCACTTATTTTCTTGCAAATTGAAAGTGCTCTGAAGCTTCTGCAGTCTTTTACCTCCCATTTTCCAAGAGACTTTCCAGTAGACATAGCCACACAGCCACCTGGGGAAGCTGGGATTGAAGTGGAAAGCTTAAAATGTTAAAGTTCAAACACTTTCTAGTGTTTCTACTCTTTATTTCAGCAATGTTGAGGAGAGAGAATACAAAAAAAAAAAAAAAAAAAAAAAAAAAAAAAAAAAAAAAAAAAAAAAAAAAAAAAAAAAAGGAACACAGAGAGGAGATAAATGTGTTGTTCAGAATAATAATGACAGGCAGTGTTTGTTATTTTTAAAGCACTTTTCTAAAAAGATTAATCCTCAGAACAAACCTATAGAGGAGATTCTATTGTCATAATTTGAGGTACACTGAGAATTAAGTTGTTCTTGACTTGTTCAAGGTCATAGAATTAGGTAAGTGGTTTCCCCAGGATTTGTGCCCAGGTGGTTTATTTCTAGAGCTGTACCCTAAACATCACTGCTGTTTAGGATAGTGGTTTGAATTAGCTTAACAACTTTGAGCAGTTTTTAAGCAACTTAGTAAACCTCAAAATACAACTCTCTCAGATTCTGATCCAAAGGAAAAGGTGGTGCAATAAGGTAAAAGGAGGTATGTGATAATATGTATTTGTTTACTATTTATTTGTGACATTCATAATTTTATGTATTCATAACAGTATTAAAAAGTAGTTTTTAATATCAGTTCCATTTTCTAAATGAAGACTAAGTAACTTGCCCATAGTCAGTTAGTGAGTGTTAGAGTCAGCATTGAATCCAGATTTGTCTGGCAAAGGGTCATGTTCCATTTTCCATTATTCCACACTGCCCGAAGCAGGCAGAAGACAAGAAGAGTCACGCACATTGAAAAGTAGTGAGGACAACTTCTATCCCACCAAACAGAGAAGCCACATGGTCTCTTATACACAAACAGCAAGAGGAACAAGACACTGGGTAAAATAATTGCCTTGCTACCCTGAATGGGTGTGCTATTTTCCCTGTTCTGTCCCCCTATCGATGTGCCCATGATAGACGAAGTTGGCTGAGGATGGGAGGAATGATGGTAAAGAGAGCTTCATGCAGCCTTTCTGGTAGCTACTTCTCAAGCACCTCTCCAACCACCAAGACTTAATCATTGACCTTTACTCTAAGATGTCTGAGTGTCTAGAAAAGAAATCTGGCAGGGTGCGGTGGTTCACGCCTGTAATCCCAGCACTTTGGGAGGCTGAGGCAGGTGGATCACCTGAGGTCGGGAGTTTGAGATCAGCCTGGCCAACATGGTGAAACCCCATTTCTACTAAAAATACAAAATTGGCTGGGCATGGTAGTGCATGCCTGTAATCCCAGCTACTCAGGAGGCTGAGGCAGGAGCATCATTTGTACCAGGGAGGCAGAGGGTGCAGTGAGCCAAGACCGCACCATTGCACTCCAGCCTAGGTGAGAAGAGCAAAACTCTGTCTCACAAAAAAANAAAAAAAAAAAAAGAAGAGAAAATAAATCTATGTGCTTTATCTATCAGAGTGTTCCTAATTTAAGATGAGAGTTAACCAGGATCAACATCTGTATACTCCATCTTCTTCCGTACATAAAAGGATGACTTTGTTACTAGCAACATTACTCATGTTGATGGTGATGACAATGTGTCATAACTTTTGTGGGCATTTTCTATTTCAAATTTCATGTTCAACTGTAAGCTCATATTTTCTAATCTCTGTGTTATAAAAGATAGTCTTCCTGATCACATTAAACCAATGCAATAAAATATAAATAATTCAATAGGTGAAAAGTAGAAATCTTTATATTGTTGTCTTATTCAAAGCCACTGGCTTAAAAATCAGGAACTCTAGATTTTATTAATTCAATAACCAGATGATCTTTGTCAAGTAAATCACCCTTTAAAGTCTTTGTTTTCTTAACTCTAAAAGTATTTCTGATGTCTTTTCCAGCTCAGGTATTCTGATTCTATGGCAAATTATGGTCAATGCTTTAGGCTGGTTGGAGAAAGAGGAACTAACTTTCAAAATAAGTAAGAGGCCAGGCGTGGTGGCTCACACTTGTAATCCCAGCACTTTGGGAGACCGAGGCAGATGGATAACTTGAGATCAGGAGATTGAGACCAGCCTGGCCAACACGGTAAAACCCCATTTCTACAAAAATACAAAAACCAGCGAAGTGTGATGGTGTGCACCTATAATCCCAGCTACTTGGGAGGCTGAGGCAGGAGAATCACTTGAACTTGGGAGGCCGAGGTTGCAGTGAGCCAAGATCATACCACCGCATTCCATCCTGGGCAACAAATGAACAAAAACAAAATAAATAATACACACAATATAGCCTCCATAATTCTTACCCATTGAGAATAATGGAAGAAAACACATTGTTTTGAAGAAAGGTTAAGGAGAAGAGAGATGAAAGTGTAAAGAGTTTCACATGAGAACTTCTAGATTCTATTTGAGATTTACACAGAAAAGATTTAAAAACTCGCACTGGTGGTTCTAGCTCTGAGCCATTAGATGGTGGTTTGGGAGAACTAAGTTTTTGAACTTCTTTCACTGAATTATTCCTGAGGTCATAATAGGGAAGACATAGCCACTGCTTCTATTTACGATCCCATAGATAGATTCCAGTCCTAAAGATTATCACGTACCTCACATTTCAAAAGTAAGTGAAGAACATCTTTGGGAGGAATGCTGCCTTTCATTGGTCACAGTATTCTACTACTTTAAAGATGAAGACACACCTGGCTCAAGAAAATTCCAGTTGGAAAAGGTTACAGTCTGCTTTCTTCCACCAACAGTTGCCCAATTATACTGTCCACGAGAATCTACATCTCTCAGGCCAGTCCAGAAGTATTTTCTTCGAGATTTATCATACTTTTTCATCAAATCATTTAGGTATTCTTGCTCAAATCTACAAAAAGAGAATCAAATTGGCAAGTGTTTCACAATGATTGACACTATTTGAAGATACGCCTTTTTCTTAGGAAGACTGTTTAGCAGAACTAAGAGTTGAAAGTTTATGAGAACAAGTTTACTGATGGTCACACCTGCTGGTGATAGTCAGATTACAGTTTGTTCCGAAAGGGACCTCATCCTTGTAAATCTTGTAACAGGTTTCTCCATGTCTCTTCCAGCCCTAAATCAGAGGAAAATATTGTCAAACTGTTTTCTGGACTTGATGTGTACCCCTCTGACAAGCATGTTTCTGCTACATTGATAACATCTTTGAACTTGTGGAAACTGAGGACGTGGCCATTGAATTCATACATGTGATGAGGGTGGGATGCAATTTCACAGATAACCTCCACAAGACTGTGAGCCTGTGTCAAATAAAAGGCATAGGCTACTTCTCTTTATCCTTGGTGCCTAGCTCATCATAAGAGTATAATATTTGCTGTATGAATTATTTTTTGATATTAATAATATTAGTGGGGAAGTAAAGATATCAGCCTTGAGGATAGTAATCCTAAAAATACTTATAGAAAATTTCAAATAAGTAACTCTTTTTCATCCTGTAAGAATGCCAATATGCTAAGACTTACTGCCTTCTGGCTTGTTCTAACGTAAGTGAACAGAACCTAGTAGTTCCTTCTATTTTATGAGTCTGAATTGTTTAAGTCTCAGCTACCATTTCTAACCAAGCAGTTGTAATACTGCTTGGGAAAATTTACACAGGGATTTTACCTACCTCATCTGGAGGACACATCTTATCAGAACTTGTGTCATTCAGTTTTTCTCCCTTTTAGTTTCTCCTCACATGATTGGACTTTCCACTGACCTAGCTTTGAAAGGAGACAAAAAACATTTGCTTGGAAAGGAAATTATTTACCACATATTCAGAACTGAATTCACAAAATCTATGTGTGTGTGTGTGTGTGTGTGTGTGTGTGTGTGTGTGTGAGAGAGAGAGAGAGAGAGAGACGGGGGGGGAGAGAGAGAGAGAGAGAGAGAGAGAGAGGAGGGAGGGGGGGGGGGGGAGAGAGAGAGAGAGAGAGAGAGAGAGAGAGAGAGAGACAAATTATCAAATGTGAGAACACCCTCCTAGAAAATGCTACTCAACAGGCTTGCAAAGTGATGGCTCACAGCCAGTTACCTCAGGATCACCTCAAGGTCACATTGTGGATAAATTTCGTTTTCTTATAAGAGTAACAATAAAATCATCAAAGGACATTTAGTATAGAAGTTGAAGAGAGAAGATTTCAGACCACGGTTGCCAGCATTCTAGTCTTCTTCCCTGTGGCATGGCCAAAGTTTGAAAGTTTTAGGCACATCACTGACCTCCCTTTCTCAGTTTCCTCATGTGTAAAATGTAGATGGTAGTTAGAATAGCTATTCTCCACGAATTCTAGATCAAAAGTTTTCTTCAACTCTACTACAGCCTAGACTTCAAAATTACCTCTTTCAAATATGCTACTTAGCATTAATTTGCTAAATTGAGTAAATAACTTTGCTTTCTTCAAATTAAATTTTAATAAGTTGATTATAATAAGGGTCAGTTTTGAACACTGGAATGCTGTCTAGGTATGTCATCAATTCACCTTTGCCCATGGCAACCCCTTTCCATAATCTGATGTTCTTCTATCATGTTTGATATCCTTTTAAACAGAGCACCAAATGTGACACCTTTCTAAATTTCTTTTAAATACACATAACATTTGTTGTTTCCACTTAAGTCTCTTCAGATGTCTGAGTGATATCATAACCAATTAGGAGTCCACAGGAAAGTGATGCAAATGAAACAAAGAGGTACATATATCTTTTCTGCTCAAGACACAGCCTATTTTGGATTATTAATAAAGGATGTTCAAAAAATGTCTAGGTGGCTGGGCATGGTGGCTCACGCCTGTAATCCCAGCACTTTGGGAGGGGGCAGGCGGATCACGAGGTCAGGAGTTTGAGACCACCCTGACTAGCATGGTGAAACCCTGACTCTACTAAAAACACAAAAATTAGCTGAGTGTGGTGGCACACACTTGTAATCCTAGCTACTCAGGAGGCTGGGGCAGGATAATTACTTGAACTTGGGAGGGGGAGATTCAGTGAGCCAAGATTGTGCCATTGCACTCCAGCCCAGGCAACAGAGTGAGACTCCATATAAAAAAAAAAAGAGAAATGTTTAGGCATTCTACAGGAATAAGATGTTCTCTGAAAAAGTTAGGCCTAATTTTTAAATAAAATTATTTTTTCACTTCTCAAAGTAGTATTGATATAAAACAACCTGAACATGAATTTGGAAGATGGGATTCTTCAGGTTAAGTTGTGGCTATCTGCCCAATATCACATTGATGACAGAAAGGTGAGTTGAGGCCCTGGTCCTGAGAGAAAGCAAGTCGCTGGAATCAGTCTGGCACAAGAATCTGAGTTCTAAAGGGATTCTCTGTATCTGTTTGAGACCAAAAGAGATGCTCTCAGATAGGATGTCGGTTGGTTATTTAGTAATTGCTTTTATTCACCTTTTCAAAGTAGCTACCAGAAAGATAATCTAGACTCTAGATTACTTTTCACCAACCTTTGGCACCAGGGACCAGTTTTGTGGAAGACAATTTTTCCACAGATGGTGGGGAGGAGGATAGTTTTGGGATGAAATTGTTCCACAGGAATGTGCAACCTAGGTGCCTTGCATGTGCAGTTCACAATAGGGTTCACTGTCCTATGAGACTCTAATGCTGCTGCCAATCTGACAGGAGGTGGAGCTCAGGCAGTGACGTTTGCTTGCCCGCTGCTCACCTCCTGCTGTGCCGCCCAGTTCTTAACAGGTAATCGTTTGTAGTCCTGCACCCATGATCTAGAGGGCCCTTACCTTTTATTTTCTTTCCAGGTTATACACAAACATCCCAACCAAAGAAATCTTAATATTATCATTAGGTATAACAGCAAGAACATAAATAAACCAGAGGAGTTTCCTACCTCTCCTAAGTAGGAAACACAGTTGGGCGTCTTATTGTAGGGAACATTTGGCTCATTCTCATCCCAAAATGTGAGAGTAACTTCAGTGCCATCTGACCACTGAAATAAAGTTGGTATGTTTATGTTCTTAAGGCCTGTCCATATTTCTTCTTTGGCATCTAAAAGAAAAATGTTTTATTCGTTTGGTTTTGCTCAATTTCATACTTTAATATGCACATTGTCATATGAATTTTTACATTCAGATATGGAGTTTTAAGAGCCTTTTTAGTATTCTTAAGTTGATTATTAATATGTTGATAAGGCAGGCAGGTTGGGTAATGAAAGCTTTTCAAGTCACTTGTGCAAGTAAAGTACATGGGTAGAACATCTGCAGGCTGGGTGTTCCTGATATCTGGTGTAGATAAACTCTGCTTTATGGGATGAATGAAATTCTATAAGTACAATCATACCTATCCCAATTTGAATAGAAATACTGTCCATTACTGCCCTTGTAAGACTCTGCTGCCTTCACAAGTGAAACAAGGAGCACCAGGCTGGCACTGAGTAGGTTCCTACTCTTAGCTATTATTAGTGAATTCTAGGAAGAGATTATAATACTGTCAGTCTAGTATATTTTCCTTTACCCGTCTTTAGCTTTCAAATAATTACAAAAGTGAAGTAATTACCACTTAAGTTTTTGGCGCAACTTAAATAGAATTTAGCTCATGAGAAGAGGGAAATCTTTCAATCAGTGGTGGTACTGTCAAATTGGTTGCCACTAGGCACATGTGGCCACTTAATTAAAATGAAGTAAAAGTCCTACAACAGAAAGGCTGAAGCTGGGAAAAACAATAAAAATAAAATGAAGTAAAAGTAATAATTCAGTTCCTTAGTTGCCCTAGCTACATGTCAATTACTCAAAAACTGCATGTGGCTTGTGGCCACCGTACTACACAGCGCCGATTGTAGAACAGTTCCATCACCATAGACAATCCTATCTGACAGTGCTGACCTGTGAGATCAATCTGTAAGCTTTTCATTCCCATCAAGAGTCTAAAACCAGGGATGCTTTAAAATGTCTTCAGCCTCTCAAATGGGATATTTTTTAAAACTTACCCTCATTATGGAGTTTTGTGACAACCACCTCCACATCTGCTAGAGAATGAATGCTGATTAAGTCACTACTGAAGGCTTTGCATTTTGTATGTGACTTATCCCAGGAATTACTTTCATTTACCAGCAGATAGCAAAATCCATTATTTGGCAGCCAGCCTGCATCACAGCGGGTATCTGAGTATGTCCAGACATCTGGGGGAAAAACAGCTATTTATATTCCAGTAAAAATAAATCTATTTTGAATCAATAACACTGCAAATTCTTTTTTCTTGAATAATGAGTCTTCTGGAAAACTGGGGAATGTGATCTCAGATGCTACAGTGACATGAATTTATGCGGTGCTTACCACATAAATGAGGTATACATGGTATCATAGGAATTCCCATTGGGATTCAGAAAATGATGTGACTTTTTAATGTGATATCAATGTGCTATATGGCTGAGCACAGACTATTAAAAGGTTTGGACACAATCAAGGGAGAGATTGCCCTTAGTCCAAGTAGACAGTAGAAAAATGTGTGTTAAGTCAGTTTCTGACAAATCTTTTCCTGGGTATGGAACTTGTTATGTTTCCCTGCAGTCTCTGTCCTTGAGAAGATTATAAGAAGGCAAGCCTCCTTTTCTTGCATGGTCAGCTTAGCAAGAGGATGTAGATTAATGCTCACTGTTGAACAAAGGACAGGCAGAGATTTAAAGGACAGAATAAGACATTTACACACTTTGCATCCAAGAAATGGCAGCAATGGAGGGAAAGGGCAAAGGTTACCCGTGGACTTCTTTCCTCCCCTCTGCTAGACAGATGGTCCTTATGGAATTAGTGATTCTGTTTTGACCATGATAAAGCTCACAAATGAAGGTCTAATCTTTCCAGATTAGAAAAAAGAAGGAAGTATAAACCCCTACAGAATACTTCTACCAGAAAGTGAGTTGGTTACTCAGGCTTCACTGATTCAGAACCATTTTGAATATCTGTTGTAAGAAAACACAGCATCTTAAAAATGTGGACAGTTTGTTTTTTTTTACTGACAGTTTGTTTTTTAAAGTGATTCAGATTCAGCTAGCCTCTTACGCTTGCAAGATAACTCAATTAACTTTAATATTCTGAAACAGCATGTATTGTTGTTATATTTTATAATTATGATAAAAGAACAGAGGAAAAATATCACCCATAATGGAACTTAATGCAATCATTTTCATATTCTAATTTTTGTCTCAATGAATACATATTTTTACGAGATTAAAATGATAAGTAGGCATATCATTTGGTTTTGTTCTTTGTATTTTCCTGCTGGCACAGTTATTTTAGTAAATGCATATTATTCAATCATGTGGAAACATCATGATTTACTTAATAATTGCTACTGTGAGATATTTACTTAATCTATCATCAGTCGCTCTAGTTTATTTTCATTTGTGCTGGGTTTTCTCTTATGCCTTTTATTGTATGGACTAAATTTTGTTTAAATCAACTTGGAAGATAAATGTTCATTTCCTCTATTACCTTAAAATATCCCCTTACAATCTTTATTCTATATCTAGTTTTTCCTTAAAAATTGCACTATGCTTCTTTTTAGATGACAAGACATTTGGATGATTTATTCCCTTCACTCATAGTTCCTTAAAGCAGGACACTGAAAAATCATCCTTTGTTGGGGATTGGTCATAGTGGTAGGGAAAAGCTATAGGGAAAGGACACAGAGCCCCAGGGGAGCATAGCTGAAGGCAGCTGTTCTATAACTCTGAGGCAGAGGGCAAGGAGTAGGTACAAGGGAATGTAGGGGAATTTATCTTAAACAGGCTTGTTTACTTATATTGACTAGGAACTGACCTTTGATCATCCCCGAGTGAAGTTCTCTGAAAGGGGAACAATAAATGCTAATTACCTACAGGTTGTGTTTCTTCCAGATTTTCATCATTGTGCCTTCACTGAATAAAAGCAAGCAGCTCCAGTTTCTCGGGGCAGCTCTCTGGCCACAAAAGCCAGTCAGTCACCTAACTACTCTTACACTGCATACTTGTGTCTGAGTACTCCTTTTATCGGTTGTCGGCCAGGGTCTGCGGGATGGACCCAGCAGGTACTGCCCTGTGTGAGGAGTGCTGCAACAGATTGTGACAAACCCTCAAAAACGAAAGCGAAATGACTGCACAATAAGTAATTGGTGCCCACTGGGGATTTCCAAGTCGAGCGGGTTTTCAAGCTAGGGTTTTATCATGGGACAACAGCTATCAGCTCAACAGCAACAGTATATAAAAGTATTGAAACAGCTGCTTAAAGCTAGTGGAGCCTCGATCTCAAAGGTCCAATTAAGGGACCTAATGCAAACTGTAGTTTTCCATAACCCATGGTTCCCAGAAGAAGGCACACTAGGCCTAGAGCTCTGGGAGCAAGTGGGAAGAAATCTTAAATGACATCATGAACAAGGGCAATGGGTCCCAGCAACAACTTTAACATTACGGGCCTTAGTTAAGGCTGCTTTGGCCCCACTCTACACAAGAGCCAAAAAAGTGAAAGGAGGAAGAACCATCATCTACCTTACCACCTCCTCCTCCTCCCTCAGCCCCGCTGTTATCAACTAAAGGTGCCACAGAGGAGGCAGAGATTTTCCCTGAGCGGCCTCCCACAATAAACTGGAAAAAAGACTGGGACTCTGTCTTAGGCAAGTGACATTAGAAGGGGATGTCTTGGCTTGCCCGGTGATGCAAGGTCAACAAGGCAATCAGGTATATGAACCCATTACTTTCGACACTTATAAAGAGACATCAAAAAGCATTAGAGAATACAGAGCCGCTAGCTCATTTACAAAAAGATTAATTGAGGCCATAGCAGACGGCTTCCATATGACCCCATGGGACTGGTCAGTGCTAGCTAAAACAACTTTAGAGGCCAGTCAATACTTCCTCTGGAGGGCAGAATATGATGAGTTGTGCAAACAACAAACCAATCAGAATCAATCCTTTCCCCTTGATAGGTCTGGCTGCGTCCCCACCCAAATCTCACCTTAAATTCCCATGTATTGTGGGAGGGTCCTGGTGAAAGGTAATTGATTCATGGGGGCATGTCTCTCCCATGCTGTTCTCGTGATAGTGAATAAGTTTCACAAGATCTGATGGTTTTATAAGGGGGAGTTTCCCTGCACAAGCTCTCTCTCTTTGCCCACCACCATCCATGGGAGACAGGACTTGCTCATCTTTGCCTTCTGCCATGATTGTGAGGCCTCCCCAGCCATGTGGAACTGCAAGCCCATTAAACCTCTTTTTCTTTCCAGTCTTGGGTATGTCTTTATCAGTAGCATGAAAATGGACTAATACACCCCTCCAGTTTTGAGTATTAGTTTCTCTCACTTGGCGAGGATGTAATTAAATACCAGGTATACATCAGGCCCTATGCTTGACAGTCAAGGCACTCCTCTTCTCCATTCTTTCAAAAACGCCTCAAACCTTTCTACTCCTCAAAAACTTCAGTCGTTCTTGCGTCTCTTTCATCCTCAAGCTCCCTGAATAACCCCCCTCATTGTACACATTGTGTCCTTCTGCACCTCTCCTTTTTACTTGATTTTTCGATGCAAAGACCAGCCTGGCAGAGAAGGATAGAAGAAGGCCAGGTGCTGTGGAGGACAGGGTGAAGAAGCCTGGGATTACTCCTTTTGCCTCATTATGGAGGCATGCACAGTAGTGGTTCTCAGACTTGACCACGCAGTAGAACCACAGGGAGAGCTTCTTAAAACACAGATTGCTGGCTGGGTGCAATGGTTAATGCCTGTAATACCAGTACTTTGGGATGCCAAGGCAGGAGGATCACAAGGTCAGGAGTTTGAGACCAGCCTGACTAACATGGTGAAACCCTGTCTCTATTAAAAATACAAAAATTAGCCAGGTGTGGTGGTGCATGCCTGTAATCCCAGCTACTCAGGAGGCTAAGGAAGGAGAATCCCTTGAACCCAGGAAGTGAACGTTGCTGTGAGCTGAGACTGTACCACTGCACTCCAGCCTGGGCAACAGAAGGAGACTATGTCTCAAAACAACAACAACAACAACAAACAAACAAAAAAACAACACAGATTGCTGGACCCCATCCTGGGAGTTTCTGATGTAGCAAGTCTGGAGTGGGTCCTGAGAGCTTGTATTTCTAACAGGAAGAGGTGATGCTGATGTTTTTGGTCTGGGGACCATCCTTGGAGAACCACTGCTCTGGAGAAAAAAGAGCCACACACGAACAGAAGTATATTTCCTATCTCGAATATCTCTGCCTTCTCCTGGGCACATATTATTATGTAATACATATTATTATTTAATATTCTTCATTACCTCAACCAAAGCTTTATTGATATATGGTTGATAATATCTAACCATAGGGTCAAAAATCAAGTACTTTTCTATACTGTCAGTATCAGGAGAAGGAAAGTTGGAAATGGTTGTCAGAAATGATTTACTTTTTTTTCACAAAACTATGATTTTAAGGCCTATTTGAATGAGTAAGTGAAGATGATACCTGTTAACTCCACTGTATTATTTAATGGTTTCCTGCAGACATAGGGCAGTTGAGCTTCACAGGAAAAGCTCTGCCACAGACCAGACTCGGCATCCATTCTTGCACAGCTGGACCCACCTATGGTAGGTGCACTGGGCCTATCTTAAAACAGAACATTTTTCAAAGCATTAGAATGAGAAAATTAGGGCCAGGATGGTGGTCAGAAAGAATAATTTATATTCCTAATTTTATGCTTTTATGGGAACTCATAGTATACTTAAAATGTGTAAGCCTCAATAAATAATTATGTGCTCAAATATGTCTTTCTTTTAAAATATAGGATCTAAGGGGAAAACACTATGATATATTATAATTTTAAAAACAAAAACAAAACAAAACCTTTTTTTCCCCAAATGACTTCCAGGTCATATTCTATGGTTAGTAGCTCTTAATTTGCTACTTCATAAAGTAAAAATATTAATTTATCATTGTCATGCCATTAAGGCCTTGAGTTAAAGATTATCTTTAAAGATTCTATTTACTGAAATAATAAGAGTATTACTTCATTTACTGATAAGGAAGTTTAGCAACCTAAATTAACTAAAGTGACTAACTCAGTTTTCCCATATACGTGCAGAGCAGTTTTGTACTGAAATTAGTGTTAACTTTAGGTTCTACATTTGCCTAAGATTTTATTCTATTTTTCAAAGTTGTCTAATCCTTCATTTGGGCAGAACGTCTTTAGGCTCTGCGGCATTTTGTTTGTTTTATTCCCTACAAGACTTTCTTTGAGGTATTTGTTGTATTATAACACACAACCATTATGTTGTCAGTACTTGGGTGCTATAGCGGGCAGACCCCAAGAGTTTGAAAATGAGGTGATATTTCATATTAGAGTTAAGCTGCAGATGAAATACAGCATGGGTGAGTCATAGACATGCCAAGTCCTTTAGGGACACAGAATGGCTCCTAGGCCATGTGGTGGAACTCATTCTGCTCTTACATAAAAATGGAGGGTGGTTATAGAGCTCTAAAGGTTCAAAGGCTCAGTTGCCCATGGTGTGGTTCAGCTTGGCTATAACAGTACCATAATTAAGAATGGTTTATTTTTTTTTAAATTTATTTTCTTAGTGAACAGTTCACAGACAAAGAATGGTTTAGGAAGAAAAAATTCTTCTGAGAGGTAATCATAATAGGAGTTGCCAAGATTTTGAAATTTTCTAAGCTATTGGTAAGTGAGAAGCTTTTGCTTTCTTGAAGATTTGTTGGTGCAGAGGGGGTAGGGAAAGAACAGTTACCTGGGTCCCAGTTGAGAAAGTTTAATGGTTTGTGGTCTGACCATTCCCAGCCTCTAGCAGAGTACAGTTGATTTAAACCAATCCAGAAAATTCTAGCAATGCCTTCTTTTTCTGTAAGAATTAAAAAGTGACAAAGTTGCGTAAGTTATTATCTAAATTAGACTTACATTTCTACTAATAACAAACAAATCTGCAGACCTTGATTATAAGGCAGCAATCCCTGTAGGAGGCTATCTATGCATCAAAGGCAGGCAATGCTGATAGACAAGAAACTTCAGACTATTGAGAAACCCAAAGGCTAATAAGTTAATTCAATTCTGCTTTCCTATTAGCTTGTCAAATTCCCTTTCATCTAAGGTAAGAACATAAGCTTCTCAGAGTAGCTGTCTCACTATCTATTTTTAATCCTCTTTTATTAATATAGAAGACTTATCAAAAGCAGCTTCCATTGTACTTCTAGATTTTGAAGATCTGACTGTATTCCAAAGTGACAATTTAAATTCATTATGCATACACATAATTTGCCAGGTTCTAGGGATATAAAAACCAAAATGAAAAAGTCCCTGCCCTCATGAGAATTTCAATTTAGTAGAAGGATACAGACATGGATCCCTCAAATGATCATGTTTTTCTGGGACTGGGTCAGAAATATGTATAGGAGCTGTTTATGTATGTATATGTATGTACAGACTGGAGATACAGAATGAGACACACACACACACACACACACACACACACACACACACACACACACTCTACAGTGGAGACAGATCATTCAAATTTATTACTTGACAACCAGATGCCATCAGCAATTAAGAAAGATAGAAGGCGGGTGGATCACCTGAGGTCAAGAGTTTGAGACCAGCCTGACCAACATAGTGAAACCCCGTCTCTACTAAAAATACAAAATTTAGCTGAGCATGGTGGCACATGTCTGTAATCTCAGCTACTTGGGAGGCTGAGGCAGGAGAATTGCTTGAACTCGGGAGACAGAGGTTACAGTGAGCCAAGGTCATGCCGCTGCTCTCCATCCTGGGCAACCGAGTGAGACTCTGTCTCAAAAAAAAAAAAAAAAAAAAAAGATAGAAAGCAGATATAATTTAGGTAGTGAGGCCAATTTCTGATATGTGACTCAATGTGCATATGCCCACAAAAAAGTGGATGCAATCAAGCTGGTATGGGTTCATGTATATTGAAAAGGGAATGTGTAAATGATAGTAAGGATTTTCAGTACTGCTTAGGAAGTCATTACTCCTGGATCAATATTTACACATGGTAGTTTTCAGTAAAGGGGTACTTAATAAAAATTTATTTTGATTTGGATACTGTGAGTTTTGGAGGTTAAAACACAGTTTTCTTGGGTTTTGGGAAACTAACAGTCATAATTAGGCATATTGATATGCCTAAGAAGCTTTCGTACTGGAAGAGGAACTTGAAACATTAGAAACAGATATACTTTTAAAATTTATGATATATATTAAATGTGGGGCATGTCTGGCCAGGAGTAGGGTACAATAAGGTCCTTTACCGTGTTACCTTACTTTCATGAGTTATTAAAGAAAGCCGATGCATAAAGAATCAGGCAACATTTGTTCCTCTAAATGTGTCATTAGATTGTTTGGTAGGATGTTTATGGTCACACTTTGGCACTTTTCTCCTTCATTGAAATCATCACTTTCCAAATGTTAATATTCTAGGAAACTTAAATTTATTGGCATTTTCCATTCTCAACAATATTTTTTTGTAAGGCTTCAGTGAGGTCTGGAAAAGAATTCCAATGCCAAACAGTAGCCCATTTGGCGTATTTGGCAGATTTTCATTCTAAAGATCTGAATATTCACGTGAGAGACAATACAGGAAAAGGGTAAAGCTGTGAGTAAGAAAGGAGGTCTGAATGAAGCTGTAACCAAAAAGAATGATAAAAGACCTGTGGCCTTTTAATGATAAAATGAGATAAAGAAAGATATCTAAGAGGGGTAAGTAGTAGTATAAAAAAGTAAGCTGGGCATGATCCTGTGCTCCTGTAGTCCTAGCTACTTGGAAGACTGAGGTGGGAGGATCGTATGAGCCCAGGAGTTCAAGGCTGTAGTGTGCTCTGATCACACCTGTGAATATCCACTGCACTCCAGCCTGGACAACAGAGTGAGATTCTGTTTCTGTTTCTAATAAATAAATAAATAAATAAAGAATTCTGCAATTTTATATGTTGATATTCAAATCCCAATCTGACACTTATTAGCTGTATGATGTTGGGTGTGTTACTTCTAAGTATCAATTTCCTTATCTAGTGATAAAACATTTGTTTAATGAGGTTGTAGTAATGATTAATGGATTTATCTGGAGAAAGCAGGGCTTGTTTATTGCAAGTATTTATCAAATAGTTCCAGTTGTTATAAAATAGTGTGACAGGATCTATCTGAATTAGACAATATTTGTTTGTTTAATATGTAGCAATAAAGCTTTGTGCAAAAGTAAAAACAACCCATGAGACCCATTTGTGCCTGCAAAGAACTTATAGTCTTATAAAAGGTGAATCCATTTATATATCTGATACAATTTGTTTTCAAACTGACTGTTCAAATTTAGGGTCTGCTAAATACTTGTGGGTGACTTTGGACAAGTTATATTTCCTCTCTGAGCCTCGAATTCCTCATCTGCAAAATGGCATAACGATAATGTCCACCTCATAAGGTAGTTAGATGGGATTAAATGAGATAATGTATAAAAAGTATACAAAGTGGTCTGTCTGGCACTTCATCATCACATATTACTATTATTTGTCTTTCATCCAAAGAATAAATAATCAGGGACTCAGTAACTTAGGTTTCTTGATTTTTAAATATAATAAATTTCTGTTTACATAGTTTCTTCAAAAGATATAAAAGACTCTGGAAAGTGTTACAGAATTTTACTGAGTACATAAAAGAAGTCCTAAATAAATAGAAAGGCATATAATTTTCATGGTTGAGAAGACAATATTGAAATATTGAAATAGCAATACCTTTTTTTTTTTTTTTTTTTTTTTTTTTGAGACAGAGTTTCATTCATGTTACCCAGGCTGGAGTGCAATGGCGCGATCTCGGCTCACCGCAACCTCAGCCTCCTGAGTAGCTGGGATTACAGGTATGCACCACCATGCCCAGCTAATTTTTTGTATTTTTAGTAGAGACGGGGTTTCACCATGTTGACCAGGATGGTCTCGATCTCTTAACCTTGTGATCCACCCGCCTCGGCCTCCCAAAGTGCTGGGATTACAGGCTTGAGCCACCACACCCGGCCAGCAATACCTTTTATTTATTTATTTTTTTAAGATAAGGTCTCACTCTGTCACTCAGGCTGGAGTGCAGTGACGCCATCAAAGCTCTCTGCAGCCTCAATCTCCTAGGCTCAAGTGATCCTTCTACCTCAGCCTCCAGAGTAGCTGGGACTACAGGCACATGCCAACAGCCAATTAAAAAATTTTTTTTGTAGAGATGAGGTCTCACTTTGCTGCCCAGACTGGTTTCAAACTCCTGGCTTCAAATAATCCTCCTGCCTTTACCTTTCAAAGTGCTGGCATTGCAGGTATGAGCCACCACAGCCAGCCAATTCCTTTTTAATGAATCTATAATTCAATACAATTCCAATCAAAGTTCCAATAGGGTTTGCTACTGAAATTAACAAGGTGATCCTTAAATTCTTATGAAAGGATAAATGGTCTTTTAAAGTTTTTATCTATTCTTATTTTGTTTTCATAATTAAAAATTAAAAAATTACCACTACCACCCCCCAAACAAAACAAAGTCCTATCCACTCTGTGTCCATGTTATTAAATTCACTTTAAGATTTAGTAAAACACTCCTTGACCCTGGGGACTGTACCCTTTCACTCAATGCGAGGACTTTTACTGAGGCCATCTAGTATAACTTAACCATCTTCCTTCCCTTCCATGAATTCTCTATTTTTCAATGTTCAAAGAGTTTAATTGTTCACTTTTTAAAAAATCCTTTCATTTAGGATTAGGGTAGCAGTTTAATCTTGCTACCCAACCTTGTTTTCTAAACATCAGTCTCTCTTTAGTTTCCATCACAAGATTCATTTCTCAATGGTGAAATATGATTACATTCAGTCCTTTTTTGCTTATGGGTTTCAGTGTTGAAGTTAAAATCCCAAGAGAGGCCAGAAAAGATACATACAAAGAAACACATCTGGATATGAAAACAGAATAAGCACCTTTACAATTTTAGCCACTTTGCTCTATCACATGCAAGTAAAATCTACCTTTAAGGTAAGTTAATTCAGCAGCACTGTTGATGCTCAGTAAATCAGCTCCTTGATTCTGACATGAAACATAAGCTTCTTTCCAAGAAAGAGCTGCCTGAGTATTAAATTGGTAGCAACTTCCAAACTGTTCATGCTTTTCCCAATTATCTTCACAACCATTTTCTGTTGAGAAAAAGATACATCAGTGATCACAAAGTAAGGACATAATGTTTTCTATTACTTAGAATGCTACGAATACTGCAAGTCAATTTGCATACTCTTAGGATATGCCCAAATGGAGACTGCCATCCCTCCTTAGACCATATTTTGATCACAGTAAAATTGGAATTATAACACACCAAATTACCCAGGCTGGTTGAAGCTTCCACTCTTTCCTATGTTCTACTCTCCTTTTATCCCTATCAATTACAATGCTATGTTTTTGCCCATGTCCCTGCCTGCCCTCTGTCTGAAATACAAATCTCAGTGTGCACATGTTGTGAACACTAAGCTAATGAAAAACAAAGCTCATCTGAACATAGGGGCAGACTACAGAGGGTTTGCCCACAGCCTGCATAGAAACGGCTGTATGTGTATGTGTGTGCACAGACATGCTGCTTAAATGGCCAAGATACTGAGCCCAAGTGAGTACCTTATTTGGGAAACTAAGTCCAAGCTTCTCCTTAACATTTTAATAAAGAATTGAATATATGATATATAATTCACATTAGATATGCATTATATATGCATATGTGTGCATATATGTGCCTATAATTATTATACATATATGCTTGTAGAGTATATATAATTTTAGACAAAGAACCTGCAAGCTGTTTCCTGAATGAGATATAAAAGTTTCAAGACAACTGGTTCAAAATATACTCAGATTTTCCCATGTACTACCATATACTCCCAATAAGAGGGGAAGTCCAATGCAGGCTGTGTCAAATGTATCCCAGGCTCTAATTGGGAGACTTTCCAAAAGGTCTCCTACAGCCAGTTACATATCAGACCCTATAAGCTGGCAGGGCCTTTAGAGATCATCTTGTCTAATGTCCTTATTTCACAGACAGGAACAAGATCTAGAGGTGACTGTGGCAGAGCTATAATCAAGGGCCTTGATTGATCCTCTGAGTTGCACATCCTGCTTCTTCAGCCATTTTTCTATGGCATAAATAGCAACAGAGATTCTGACATTTGGTAAAAACAAAATAGGGTGAATTTGCAAGAACACTGTCTAAAGGTTCATTGTTACCACTGAGGCCCTACACTTGTAAATCCAGAAGTATCCGGCAGGGGATGGCAGTGTGTTTGCTATACAACATGACCCCCATGATTTACAAGCCCTCAAGTTTTAGAAACTCACAATCTTGTTTCATCCATAAAAAGTAACTCCAGGAATCATATGAATGCATTAACACCACCCCTAAACCCTCAACATACACACAACACTCACAGGAGGCTAAAGGCACCAAGACACATCCCTTTCAAGGCAACAAGATACAGTGGAGGTAAATACGTACAGTGGGGAAGGAGGATAAGGAATCCATCACCAGTTTCCACAAAAATGTGGTCTGACCCTGACAGGTCATTTCATTCATCTGGGCCTGCTGCCTCTCACCTGAGAAACAGGGGTTTGCATTGGATAACCTCTAAGCAACTTTTCATAAATTTCTGATCCAAACGATAAGGAGAGTTAAATGAAGTTGATATCTGGCTGACCAAACTCTGCTTATTATCAATTACAGCTGAAGTAAGTACTGGCTTTTTCTATTTTAGTAGGTAGGTTACAGGTGTTGAGAAGGCTGGGCCTCTAATTAGATAATACTCAAAGTGTGGTCCCCAGACCAGCATCATCAGCATTACCTGGAAACTTGCTAATTTTAGGGGCCCCACCAAAAATCTACTAAATCAGAATCTCTGGGCCCTAGATATATGTGTTCTAACAAGCTCTCCAGGTGATTCTATTGCACCCTGAAATCTGAAGTCTTAACCCAGTATAATCTCTTCAAGTTGCATAGAACTCTGCATGCTGAAGCTCAGATTCCTGAAGGAGGGATCAGCATTACTAATACCACCTGGCTAGCTACTCAATGAGTTAGGATGGTATAGCTGTTTAGGGAAAGGACTTCATAGCCAGGCTTCCTGAGTCTGAATCCTAGCTCTGATATTTATTAGTTCTGTGATCTTAGGTAAGTTATGTATGTCCCTGTGCCTCACTGTGATCATCTGTAGAATGGGGATTAAATTATGGTACCTTTTAGGGTAGCTGTGAGGATTGAATGAGTTAATGTATATTGAGAGCCTGAAACAATATCTGACACCAGGCTGAGCCCTGTTAAGTATTAACTATTATTACTTAGGCCTGGAGCTCTTTCCTTTCTCTTTGCTATATTCTTTCAACCTATTGTCCATTAAGTAATATTTTGTGAGTACCTATCACATGTCAGCTGCTGTCATCCCCTGTAACTCTCACATAATTGGTGAGAAACTGTGTCTCAGTTGTGCCAGATAATGATGTAATTGCTACTTTGGTCTCTCTCTGTCTTTCTAAAGAACAGCAAATTCTTTAACAAATCCTGAACAGTTTGCTTCTAGTAAAAAGTAATGAGAAAAAGTACTCATGTACAATGAGTACAAATGACCAAAAGTACAAATGACCAATACACAAGAAAGGTGGAAGGAACAGTGTCACCAATTTTGAGAACCCCAGGAAGATCTATCTCTTCTCTTTCCAGCTCTTTACTTCAGGCCATAAATATACTTAAGACTTCACCATTTGAAAAGTGTTTCTCAACTGATCTCTCCCTCAAATTATCCTTTGCTCTTTTAAAAAAACATTATAGGAGGTCACTGTTTTGGACTAAGCTCCTGATCTAGGAGTCAAAAATCAAAATGGAGTCACCCATGCCAAAGTTCCGTGTCACCATACTGAAATGGAGTTCTTATCTGACCTTTTGAGAAATCAGAAAAGCAGACTGCCTAATTTCCCAAACAGGCCAGTTTCAATCTTTAATTGACCTGATAATGAAGTTCTCTGTGCTTTAATCCTTAACCTGAAGTCACCTGATGTTAACCAATCAATTATTTCTCTATTGCTCTGTTTCCCTGTCCATATCTTACATGGAAAGTTACTTTGAAATCACCAATCCACTCTTTGCTTTTTGTTTTTGTTTTCCTCAGCCCTATTTCTGTCTACAAAGCCAACCCCCTCTGTTCAATGAACTGGAACCCTTATAGTCCTCTATTTTTTAAATGAAGTGTTGCCTGATTCTAGAATTGCAATAAAGCCAAATGAGATCGTAACTACATAAATTTGCTGCAATTTTGTTCTTTGCCAACCGTCTCTTTTTCTTCTGCATGAAGCTTATGAGGCTTATTTCCTTCTGTTCATGCTTCAGTCCACTACAACCCAGCTTCTACCGCCTCTAGTCTTCCGAAACTGCTAAAGGTCAGCAGCAATTTCCCAACCGGGCCTGCCTTTTCCACACTTCCTCTCCCTGAGGTGCCTGTGCTGTCGAATACTCCTTCCTCCTCCTCCATGACACCATCCACCTTGGTTCACTTCCTGGCCTGCTTCTGAAGGCAAATCATACCTACACATTACCTCTCTCTTCTCCAAACTTACACGCCTTATCTGGGATAATATTTTTGCAGTCACTTTTGAGTCACTTTGAACTCTTCCTTCTCCCTGTTGCCTCATATAAATGTACTGCCTTTCTGCATGAAGTTTACCAGCCCATACATACCAGGCTTTAAGCAGATGCCCCACTTTCGGTCATATTCATAATTGGACGTGGTGGCACACCATGGCCCACTATGATCTTCATCAAGGATGCATTCATGATGCCAGGTCCCATCAATTAAGAATGGAAATTCACAAGGTCTCCCATAGGAGTTCCCATCTTTGGTATAGATCTCTGTGTTGGAAAGGAAGTTGGGGAAAAGAGAGTTAAAAACTGGGTAGTCAGCTTCAGTTGCCTAATTTCTAAAACGATTTTTAAAAGAAATACTGTTGTTTTCACTTAGAATATAATATCTGAGTATACGAATTCAGAGCATGGGTGTTCTCAGGTCTGGATTTGAATGCTGGCTCCCCACCGACCTGCAGGGTATCTGTGGGCAAGCTATCCAATTTCTAGTAGCCTCAGTTTCTGCTTTTGCAAACTGGGGATAGCACTCAGTGATCATCCATGTGAAGCTTCACTTATTGTGGTGTGATGAGGAGCTGAAAGAGCCTGGTTTGATCAGGTGAGGGTCTACTAACCCTGCTGTGGGCAACAGAGCACTTCACCAGAAAGGGTGCCCTGGCTGAGGTTAAATTTACCTCTATTTTATTTTCTTCAGAAAGTGCTGGAGCCAAAAAAATACCTGGGAACCACTGAGGGTGGGTGTGGACTTTGGAACCACCTGTGGAGTTAGAGAGATGGACGAACAGTCCCATTGCTCAGAGACTGGAGGTAGAATTGACACTGTGGTTTTTGAGGAAGTAAGAGGAAGAGCCGCTGAATTTCTGTGTTGATTCCTCCGGAGGAACAGGGCACTGTAATTGGGTTGTGAAAGAAGCAGCAGCAGCTTTAATGGGGCAGTCATGGGACCAGCTGGTGGCCAGTGAGGTAGTAGACGTGGTTTTTCTTTTAATTACTTTCTCTGGTACATGGAGAGGAGCTGGAAAGTAATTCCAATCTCAAATATGCCTGGAAATGCTAGAAAGAGCACTTGATGCTTATATCAATATTAATTCTCTTAAAAAAATTGTTTTTATAGAACAGCTAACCCTCTATCTCTTTTGTCACATTTTTCTAAATCTTCAATTTGTTAAAAGCCCCGGTCATTAACAGATCAAATAATGGCCATTAGGTAAATCATAGTAATTAGATCTTATCACCCTTTACCAGGCAATTAGGGTTCCTCAAAATGTCTCAAAGATTTGCTTAAAAGTGTGCTTAAGACAGTATTTGATTCTACTTTCTTTATTATTCTCAAGTGTCCATCTAAATGAAACATGAGGCCATTTAACAGCTTAGAATGTATTAAGCAGAACTACAGTAAAAGTCCTGCTCAGTACATTCTATAAGAAAAATCTGGAGGCTTTTCTTGGCAAATAATCTTTTAAAAATCACTGGTTTTGGTTTCCTATGTCATATAAATAGTTTTCAAAAGGGTACTTCTGTTAAAGAGTATATTTTATATGGATTCTGCTTATTACCTATGTTTTGGTTTTAACCATATCAAAAACCCCCAATAGCTCATGACTAATTTCTCTTTCCATGCCACAAACCTAAGAGGACAGTCTCTGAACACAGGATTGTTCCTTGTAGAACTATCCGTTTTATTCTAAAACCTTTGATTTTTGGAATACAAAATGCCTTGGTATACATTTCTGTCATTTGTTTTTTATCATAAACCTGTGAGATCATAGGGGAAGTATTTTACTTGTCTGGGAAATCCCCATTTTTGCAGTGTAGTCAAGTGAGACATTCAGGCACTCATCTGCAAGTGACAGGGATGAGAATGGGCTCTCTGATTAGTCTTGACCTATAAGGACAACTTGTGACATCAGTGGCTGTCAAGTTTCAAGTGGCTTCTCAAGTTTCAAATTGGATTTCATAGCTCAAAGCTGGGCTTCAATTAAAAAGCTCTCTACGTCACAATATATGCTTTGAAGAATGATAGGCATACAACCACCATACCAGAAGCAGCTAAATTATGCTAACTATTCACTAAGTTTTGCTCCCACACATTCTTTGCTGATGGGGACCTCTTATATGCCATGGGCTTCCTTAGCAAGACAGGTTTTCCTGAAAAGAATCTTTTCTGAATGTGTGAATTTGTGGTGACAACATCCTTAAAACAACAGCTTATTATGCAGTAGGTACACATTTGTGAGATGAAGTGATTATGCAGAAAACTGGCAAATTAATGTCATCAGAAACATGAGACAAAATAGTTTCAATGGATAAAGAGGTTGTTGGCAGGCTTCTAAGAGTTGCCCAGAATTCTGCAGCCACCCTACCACGAAAAGTCCATTCCTCTACATGATTCACCAAACATTCAAAATTTGAAAAGTACTAGTGAGATCAAGATATCTTAATGATATAAATGTACATCTACCTGGGTGCTAGTCAAAAGCAGTTTACTAATAAAATTTATACAACTTTGGTTTTCTCTGAGGTGAGCACGTTGCACACAGGATGGGAGTTGGGTTGAGGGGCAGCCCAAGGCACAATGATAAATTAATGTTCTTGTGTCACAAGCGAAAACCTTTTTTATACTGCTAAAGCCGAGGGAGAAAGAAAGAAGCTATGTTTGGGGAATGGAAAACTGGTTTTTGAGCCCGAGTTTTGAACAAGCTAAGTAACCTTGGACTTCCTTTTGTTGGGACTCGGATGTCTTGTATGTTTTGTTTCTATACTGCCAGATGAGAAGGTGGGGACAACAACCAGTATCAAGAGTCTGAGCGAGGAGTCCTAGAGAAAGTACCTAACTTAAGGCAGCAGTCCCTAACCTAAGAACAAGAAGGGACATACATAAATTGAAAAAGGGTGAATTGCCAGGACTTCATATTTGATTATATTGGAGTGGTGGACGAGGAAAGCCTGAAACCTCTACGGTGCCTTGCTGATTTCTGACATGTAGAACATAGATGGTACCGGTCACCTAGACAGAAACAGAGAAGAGGTGGCAGGTTTGGCCCTGGTTTCTGTGCAAGTTAAAACTTAAGGTATGCCTTGACTAGTCATAACTATACATGCTTTAAAAAAAAAGCTTTAGTGTTTCAAATATTGTATTTGAAAAGGTCAAGAAACATTTTATGACTGTGGGCTATGCTGGTGGCATTGCTTAACTCTCGCTGAATGGTCCCCTGGGTGGGTCCTTAACCTTTTTTGTGCCACTGATCACTTGGCAGATGAGTGAAACCCACAGTCCCCATCTCAGAAGAACATTAGAAATGCGTAAATAAAACACATAGGATAAAAATGAAAACCAATTATATTGAAATGAAGACACTCCGGAGACTGAGGGAGTTTAAGATTACAACTATGCCCACCAAAAGAATTAGATCAAGAGACTAAAAGAACCCTGCCAAGAAAATTATCCATTCTGATCCCTGGACAAATACAATAAAACAAGTTAAATCCAATTCAAAAGGCATTTTGTTTGGCTCTGTGTTTTCTCTTAGTTGGCAAGTTGGAGAAGGGCTTTTGTGGCACAGAATTTAAATTTACCTTTAAGTCATATCCAGAAAGCAACTGCTTTACTTTTAGGAGGAAGCTGGCTCACAGAAACAGATTGTCAATTATTCAAAGGTCAGGGATTGACAAAAAGGAAACCCCCATCTCTAATTCTCTAATATTTCTCTATAATAATGGAACTTGACATTCTCAGAATAATTTCTTCATCTTCACTAGGAAATAGACTAGAAAGAAAAACGTGTGTGGATGTATAATGGAAAGTATGGGAGCAAAGCTGCTATCCTGACTTTGAAGCCAAATTTAGCTTAAATTAGCTTTAAGAGAAGAAGAAAGCCATTGTAAAGCTAGAGGAGTTTGTAAAGAAAGACAAGGGAAAATAATAGGACTTAGACGACATAATTATATACCTATTGATACTTGGTGTAATTTAGAGCAACATAATGAAAAATATTTGCTTGGGTGATAGCCAATTACATTTAGTGGTTAAAAAAATAAATCTACTCATTCTTTAACTTGGAAATTAGTTGCAATCCAGTCCCTAGACTCCAAGCTAAGTCCATGGCTAGCTCCCCCTAAGACAATATTCATAAAGTTATTTTTGGAAGCAACAGAAAAACTCTCTTAAAATGCTGAATCATAAATATAAATATCAAAATTTGGTTGCCATGCCAAAAGCGAAAATAAATAAGGAAATCCACTCAAAGTTTTCCCATGTTATGTAGGCAAGGGAAAATACATTTTTCCTCCTTCTCCTTCTTTTCTTTTTTAAGAGATGGGGTCTCACCATGCTGCCCAGGCTGAAGTGCAGTGGCTATTCACAAGTGTGATCATTACACACTGCAACCCTGAATTCCTGTGCTTAAGTGATCCTGCTGCCTCAGTCTCTCAAGAAGCTGGAACTACAACCATGCACCACTACACCTGGCCTTTCTTCTTCTTCTTTTAAAACTTAGAATAAGATCAACATTATTAGATCATTTGACTTTTAGCCTGTAAAAAGATTTCCTGTTAATCTAATGTTTCCTTTCCTCTAGGGTTCAGAAGACCATCAGAGGAAGTACATAGCTCTCTGATGAAATCCCAGGTTTATCACAACATGGCTGTGTGACCTCAGACAAGGCACTTAACCTTTCCTAGCCTTACCTGCAAAGTAGGGGCAAATACCATGGACATGTAAGAATGTCACTCAAAGTAACTGCACAGTGCCTGGAACTGAAGAGCTTGCTCACTGCCCTTACCAATGTACAACTCTATTTTTACTAAATTGTGCATGTTCAATGCCATTAGTGACAAGCACAACAGCAAATCGGTCAAAGTCCCTCTCTAATACTCACCATGATAAGGCTGATCACAAAGGCTTTCCTCTGAGCCTCCTTTCTTCCAGACATCAGATGCATTCCAGATTGCCGTGCCGTGTCCATTCTTGAGAGCCAGCCGATACTGGGCAGCACCATACAGAGAGTGGTGCTCACATTTCCACCACAGCATGGCACTGGAGTCACAGCTGAACATTCGCAAGAAATCCACTGGTTTGGTAATATCTAGGCCAAGGCACTTCTGGGATTTCAAATGAAAGAGCCGATGCTGGGACACCCACTTCCATAACATGTCCCCAGTTTCATCACAGTCTTTTGCTACTATCCAGCTATTCAGTGGCTTGATGCACTTGCCTGAGTTTTGATGGACGATGGTGAAGGGGTCATTACCTGAGTCAGATGGACAGACAGATTCTGGATTATGTGGTTGAAGTACCTTGCTCCCTGCCTGCTGAGGAGAGTCTGAGCACCACTGTACTGTTGCCGCCCTCAGATCGTTCCCACCCTTTATATGCTGTAGTGGACCATGCAAGGTGGGAAGTGGTGACCAGAGAGGCACTGCAGCATGTGGGGTCAGTCAGAGCATGGAATCTAGAGCCCAGTCAGCCTAGGTCCATATTTTGCTGCTGCTACTTATTAGTCATAGGATCAGGGCAAATCGTTTAATCTCTGGGCTCCAGTTTTCTCACTTGGAAAATGGAGCTTACTTCATATGGTGGGTGTGAGCACAAAGCAGCTAATCCATGTAAAGCATGTAGAGGAGCATGTATATGTGTTGTTGCTATTCCATGAAACATTTTCTTCCCTTCTCATTTAATAAGATAAAAGAAGCTCTTTTTTCATCTCAATGAAAAGTATCCGAGTCTATCTGGGACCGTAATTCTGCCTTGCTTCCATGTTAGCTACTATGGCAGGGTAAATTATTACAGGAAAAATCGATGCTTAACACAGCATGTTCACTATATGTTCCTTTCTTCAGATCCAAGTATGTAGTGAGGCCTCTGTGCTCTCCTGCCTTAGGGCAAGTTCGTGTGGTCACTAAAAAGGAAAATTTAAGGGAAATCTTAAAGGTCACTTCCCCCTATATATTTTTTGGCGGCCTACATTCATTGCGGCATCTCAGAGGAAATGGGGAAAATTTTGAGGGAGCAGCAGATCAGTGGGTATAGAAACTGGAAGAAATAGAGGTCTGGGTTCTGAGGATAAGGGAACCTGTGTCCAGCTCCATTGTGGCACCCTCAGGAAGGTGACAGGACCTGGGGAAAGGCTGGGGGGACTGACTTTGTAGATCACCTAAGAAGGCTGAACCCCAAACTCCAGGAACTACCAGAGTGATGACTGATGAGTCTTGAGCTACCAGATTCAAGATCCTGTGGGTTTGGACAATGAGAAACCCAGAAGTAACCAGTGGGATCCAATGCCTAAAGAAGGATCCTCCCTGAATGTTCCCCTGGCACTTTGCATGAGCTGGGAAAGACCCCAGTAAGGACAGTTATTGAAGTTCTGGCAACCTGGTGGAATGGGAGCTCAGAATAAAATTGAATCTAGTTTTCTGAAAATAAAGTAAAGCATTTTTTCTTACACTCCTGAGTTTGTGGAATAAGATTGACATCTGTTACCACAAATTATAATCGGACAGTTTGGTTAGTTTTTTACAAAGGAACATTTTAAACAAGTTATAGCACAGGTCATCATGTTGGTAAGAGTAAAGCTGAAATATTTGACACATGCTTAAGCAATCACTGTCAATGAACCAGAGTTCAGCAGAAAGACCCATAAAATTTTGGTTCCCAAAAGGCACTTTCACTTTGATACCGGCGTCACAGTCACTGGTTTCACTAACATCAGATGCTTTTCTTAGTAATAATTGAAAGGCTTTCAGAGTTAAAAATTCCCATACCAGGGACAGGTGACTTGAGGGGAATTTTACCATGTAAATAATAACTATAAAATTAACTCTGACTGCAGCTTGAACTTTGGATGGATTTTTTTTTTAAATATCAGAAGCAACAAGAGAAACAAAAAGAACAACAAAAATTATTTAAAGTTTAAAGTTATTTCTGCTTTTAAATCTGAATTTTAAAAGTATTCCACAGGGCTGCAGCCAAGGATGTTTGCCATAGCAGCTTTCATCCCTCACACTTTTTTTTTTTTTTTTTTAAGATGGAGTCTCGCTCTGTTGTCCAGGCTGGAGTTCAGTGGTGTGATCTCAGCTCACTGCAACCTCCATCTCCCAGGTTCAAGTGACTATTATGCCTCAGCCTCCCAAGTAGCTGGGATTACAGGTGCCCACCACCACGCCCAGGTAATTTTCGTATTTTTAGACAAGGTTTCACCGTGTTGGCCAGGCTGGTCTCAAACTCCTGACCTCAGGTGATCTGCCTGCCTTGGCCTCCCAAAGTGCTGGGATTACAGGCATGAGCCACCGTGCCTGGCCACATCCCCCACACTTTCTTCTTTGACATCCCTCTGGCATTTTCTATGTAATGGACACAGGCTGGAAGGACAGTCAACAAAAAAGGAAAATATACTACCTTATAAGATTCCTACTTACACTTTCTCTCATGGCCTTCTCCCACAATTCAATAGCTACTCAGAGCTTCGATCTACATATTTTCGAAATCATTGTCTCTCGCCTCTCCAAAATAAATCTTGCATTCCAAAGTATCAAAAATTACAGAAGAAAAAAGAAGTCTCCTCCTGCAGGAGACGTGGCCATCACCATTGTTGGAAACATCCCCTCTCCTGCCCTGTAGTTTTGCTGCTCTCTTTCCTGGGCATTCTACTTTGTGCACTCTATCCCAAACAGGTGAACCAGGAAGCAGCAGCTTTGCCTTTCTTTGCAGTTTGCAGTTCTAGATTTTTCAAAGTTTTTGTAGAATCCAATGGATTAGCTATATTTCTTTGTAAAGTGGAAAGAGCAGGAGATAGGGGTCCTAGATTAAAGACCTACCTCTGCTACCAGTTAGCTGGGAGAACTTGGGGAAGCTACAATTTCCCAGTGTCTTTGTATCTTCAAATATAAGATGAAAGCAGTCCAGTACAAGGTTCTAAAAGCCATTTCCAGTGCTAACATCCTCTGCTTTCACAAGATAGTATCCTTAGCCTTGTAGGTTCATTCATTGCATATTATTCTTGAAGAGGTGTCCATGAATTTATTACGTCATGCTACTGCTCATAGCATTTCAGGTCATTCTTTTGTTTGTGAGACAAGGGAGGTCTCACACTGTCACCTAGGCTGGTGTGCAGTGGTGATCACAGCTTACTGCAGCCTCAACCTCCAAGGCTCAAGTGATCTTCTCATCTTAGACTCCCGAGTAGCTGGGACCACAGGCACAAGCCATCACATCTGGCTAACTTTTTTATTTTTGGTAGAGACAAGGTCTTACTTTGTTGCTCAGGCTACTTTAGAATGTCTAGGCTCAAGCAATCTTCCCACCTTGGCCTCCCAAAGTGCTGGGATTACAGGTATGAGTCACGGCACCCAGCCCATTTCAAGCCATTCTAATCTCACTTGTATCAGGCATGTGCACTGAAGTTACAGTTCTGTTTTATAAATATTTTTTGGAAGAGAAAGAATTATCCTTTTCTACTTTATACACATTTTTACTTCTACACATTTTTACTTCTGGACACCTGTGCACTTAACAACCATGTAGCAACTCTAAAACACTACAGGAGAGGTGTGGAGGAGCCACATGTTAAAGTGGAGCTGCTGAGCTTCCTAACAAACTGCTACATCTCTGAATATAGATATTTTTCTCAGACTAACCCCTCATTTGAACCCAGTATGCAATTTCAATGTTTGACACTTACAGTGATGACTTACTATAGATATTATTGATATACTTAAAGGAAACTTACTAGTCTCCATATATAATGTACATATATGCATGCATTAGATAGGAAGAGTCCTATCCTTTCATGATGTTTCTCCATATCTTTCTTTACCCTTAGCAGGAGCTGTTCAATCTGCCTCAGTCTTATGACATTTATCAGGATAGTAGGTTGAAGAGTGGGAAGGAGGACTGAGAAAGTGTGAACATAATCCCTTATAATTACAGAGATTGTATAAAACTTATTTTATAAAATAGATTCTTTATTCATAGCTTCTTATTGTATCTTGTTCACTTCACAATGTTATACCAGTCCTCAATGAAGGTTTAATATTTACCTCCAAATATAATCTTGGGACAAATCTAAAGGCAGAAGTTGGTGAAAAGCAGCCTCATCACTCCCTAGATGCATTTTGTATATGCTTCATTTTATATAAATTCTCCAGTGGTGTTTGAGAGAAAATGGCTAAGTAGCACTACCAAAAATTGAAAATGAATTTTTAGTAATTTTACATCCATCAAAGGAAAAGAATCTCTCAGTGTTTTCTTATTGTCTGATCACTAAATAATTCCTGCCTTATAAGCCCTAGACAAAAGAGCTTCACACATTCCAAAGAGAAGCTACATATTGACATTTATAACCACAGACAAATGGATAGGGAAATAGCTTGTGAAAACAAGAAGGATGAAGATGGCAGCATTTATAATTTCGGAGGGACTGTACATAGATCACATATTAAGCATTTTGTAGAGTCTCTACCATGTGTTCAGAATGTACAGGTAGGTGCAGCAGGAGAGAATCAGAAATCTAGGTTAGTTCAAAAACAGGTCCTGAAAGTGACAGTTGGGTCCATGGCAATGTCCTGGGAATCAGAAAGTCTTCAAGCACGATTGGGGGGTGTTGGAGTCCTCAGGAGTCCCTAACAGATTGGGTTACTTCAAACTGTTAACTCTCCAAGCAGGCAAAAATGTAAACAAAGCACCTGGCATCGCCCCAAGGACAGAGAGGTGCTCCTTCAGTGATTGAGTGATCGAGGCCACCGGCACAAGCCTAGCCATGCACATGTGATGAGGTGCATACCATCACTAGCATCATGAAGCGGACGCTTTGCCAAACAATTGAGCCAAATGGCTGGGGGTTCAAAATTCCAGTATTTCCCCTAACAAGGCCACAGGTCTGGTCTAAGGGTGACAGAAAATCTATCAGAGCAGCTGCTAGGTGTAAGGAAGGACGCAGAATAACAAAACCTGTGGGGACCTAGCACAGGAAGAACAGAGTTAAACCTGGTGCTTTTTGCTTTGGGTCAATGAGAAAGGGCAGTGATTGCAGAGATTGAAAGGATTAAGGAAATCTTGAAATTTGTGAAGGAGATAAAAACAGGACTGAAGCAGATGTAGATGGGAACCAAGAGGTTAGTGATTGAAAGGTTACCGCATTTTCACTGTAGTTAGGTGCTGCAGTGAACTTTTCCACCTTGGATCGTGGGGCAGGCAGAAAAATTCTCAAGGCAAAAAAAAAAAAAAAATCTTATTTTTAATGATTCTTTTGGTAGTTCCTAGCACACAGGGTCAAAGGAGAATAGAGAAGTGTGACTCAGAGCAGGGTCCATTTACAGGTCCTTGCTGTAGATAGGATGGTGCCACTCACACTCAGAAATCTCTTCCCATCACTTGAAAGAAGTCTAAACCAGCTGGTAGTTTAGATGAAAAGAAAATAAGAGGCACCAACAATTTAGTGTTTTTCAAACTGCCTGAACCATCTTTTCCTTCCTCAAACAAGCACGATAACAGAAGCGGCCCGTGGGGGATGGCCCACTGAATGCCCATGATACAGCCCAACCAAGAGCCAAAGTCCTCTGCACACCTCTCGCCCAGGCAAAAAGAGAAAGTAAAAGTATACGGTTGCTGCCAAGGGGTGTGGTGGGTGGGACTGGCACTACGCTGAACATCAATGAAGGGTGCCTGTTTCTGGTCCTGCTTCCGCAGTGAGAGGCAGCAGGTCCCCAGGCAGGCGACTTGCACTTCAGTGTGGGGCTGTCAGCCTTAGGGAGCGGGGTCGTTTGGAGCTGATAAACCATTGAGAAGAAACTTTTGCTGCTCTAGGCGGCAGGTGAGGGCATCATAGCTGACTCTTGGTCTTGGTCACTTTCGGAGGAGATCGTTTACTTAATCTTTCTTTCTGACGTGCACCGTGGGCGCAGTGAAGTCCGGGAATCGTTGGGAATCCTTGGCGCTGTGGATGGAGGCTCCTCTTGACACTGTGGCCAAGGTGACCAAGGGGCGAAGGAAGGGCGAGAACCGGCGGGATAGGACGCAGAGGGCAGATGGGGAACCTCATACTCCAGCAATATTTTAGAAGAGAGACGACGGAGCAGGGCACCCGCCCGGAAAAGCCTCCGTGCGCCTCCTCTACGGTGGACCGCACGCGTCCCCTCAGCACCAGAAGGGTCTTGCCCTCCCACACCCACCGCGCCCTCCTCAGGGCCCCCGAGGGCACTGGGGAGCCTCCTCCGCCGGACCTCCCCTAGCTCACCCGTCCGGCTCCAGAGACCCCACACTCCGCCCCACGCAAAGCAGCCGTGACCTGTCCCGGGGGCGCAAGCCTGCCCCGGGCTGGAGAGGTGGCAGAGTTTCGGCGTCGGGGTCCCCAGCTAACTGCGGGGCGGACGTGCCCGCGGTTACCTGCGTGGCCAGAGGGCTCTGCGAGCTCGAAGCAACAGAGGAGAAGTATGAGGAGCCCCACCACGCGGCGAGGGGTCGTCCAGCGCGTCTTCATCCTGAGCGGGCGCAAGCCGTCTGGCCGGGTCCTCGGACGCACGCGGCACCCGCCCCTCCTGCCGAGCACGGCCTGCCCCGCCGGCGCTGAAGTCCAGGCACCTGGGGGCGCCCGGGCCCCGGCCCTGGCCCGGCCCACGCCGCCCTCGGCCAATCAGACGTGTGTCTCCTCTGCCCCGGGGCGGGGCGGGCCAGCTGCGGGAAATAAAGGGGGCGGGGCGCTGGATACCTGCGTGGGGTGGGACCCGCGAGGAAGAAGGAAGTGCAAGTCTGTGGGAGAGCCTGGCGCCACCAGGCTACTGCACTGGAGGGTTCGGTCCCCGCCTCTTCATCAGCTAAGCTGGGAAGATGCGGCCCTTACTGGAACTTGGCACTGTCCTGGTGGGTGGGTTCAGTCAGTTTAAGACCTTGTCCTCTGCCTAGCGCACCGTGGTCAGGGAAGACTTCTCCATTCCAGCCTGGACTGGAAAGGGACCCACGATCCCTTCCTCCCCCGAGGAGGAAGTGAGCACCTGCCGTGTGGGTGGCTGCGGTCAAGTCTAAGAATTCAGTCGTCCTTGGCAACATCTTGGGTATTTTGATAGTGCAAACAAAGGTGGGATAATGGTACACTACAGTTCAACTCATAGTTGTTAAAAAATTAAAAGCAAGAATTACCAGAGTGACCAAACGACACTTCCAAGGATGATTTATGCTTTATAACAATTTGACCTTTGAGAGTAAGCTCTTTGCTTAATAATTTAATGATAATAATAATAAGCTGGTAGAAATGTAGAAGTCTGTTATGCAGAACCAGAAATTTCATATCCTACTTACTCTCTTCTTCTGGACACTGCTATCATTATGCCAAATTCTTAATGACCTAAGTTGCTCTAAAGTGAATGTTTTATACTTTTAAATCCCATCTTTGCTGAGCACATAATGTGTACTTGAGGTGGCCTTCATCCTTGTTGCATGAGGATGCAAAGACCTAGGTTGCTCTTCCTGACTCCCACTGCCAAGGCTTTACAGATAGGCTCCCAAACCTGCCCTGGTTCTGTCCTCTCCCCAGGCTCTGCCCTTTCAGTTGTGTAGATATAGTGAGCACTTAACCAACACAAGATCTGGGAATGCCATGGGATAGGAGGACAAAAAGACAACATCCCTGCCCTCCCATGAGTACTGGAGAGACTAAGGCACTGTGATGGATGATATTGTCAATTTGATTGGATTGAAGGATGCAAAACATTGTTCCTCGATGTGTCTGTGAGAGTGTTGCCAAAGTGGATTAACATTTGAGTCAGTGGACTGGGAGTGGCAGACCTGCCGTCAATCTGGGTGGGCACCATCTAATCAGCTGCCAGCATGGCTAGAATAAAAGAAGGCAGAAGTTGGAAGGACTTGACTGGCTGAGTCTCCTGGCCTTCATCTTTCTCCCGTGCTGGATGCTTCCTGCACTCAAACATCAGACTCCAGGTTCTTCAAGTTTTGGGCTCCTGGATACCAGTAGTTTGTCAGGGGATCTCCTGTGACACAGACTGAAGGCTTTGCCCACAGAATGAAGGCTGCACTGTTGGCTTCCCTACTTTGAGGTTTTGGGTCTTGGACTGGCTTCTTTGTTCCTCAGCTTGCAGATGGCCTATTGTGGGACTTCACCTTGTGATTGTATGAGTCAATACTCCCTAATAAACTCCCTTTCATATACATCCCTCTAGAGAACCCTAATACAGGCACACAGAGTGACACAGGGCAGAATAAAGGGGGAGACCCTGACAAAACTTGAAGGAAGGCAACATCTTAGCTAGAGCAGGTACAGCTGGTGGGAGAAAAGTAGTGACAGAGCAGAGGCCAGAAAATGCAAGCAGCATCAGAAGATAAGTCAAAAGTCCAGGGTAGCTGACCTGCAAGGGGTGTGTCTGTGAGAGAGATGAAAGTGGGTGTGGTGGGGGCTCCAGTGGAAATGACAGCAGGAAGGTGAGTTATGTCTGTTGTGCGAAGGGCCTTGACTTTATTCTAAGGAACTTTATTCTAAGATGAGAAGTTCTGAGAAGGAGAAACTGCCACTGATCTGATCCCTCTACCTCTGTAAGTGCCTGCCTTTTTTCTGATCCTGCCCACCTTGGAGCTTCTTGAAGGCAGTGGTCTTGTGGTATTCATTATCACATCCTCAACACTGGGCACAGGGCCTGTCCCAGAGTGAGCTCTCAATAAATGTTAATCAATGAATGGATTCCTAGGGCCACCACCTTAGCTTAGGGCCATATAAGCTCCTGCTTGCATTATATTGCAATAATTTCTCAACTGACCTCACTGCCAACAGTTATTATCCTCTCTGGCAAATGAATCCTTCTAAACACTGTTTGGAGCATGCCCCTGTTCTACTCAAATCCTTTCAGTGTTATTGGCATATAGCAGGAGTTCCTAAATGCTAGTTAAGGGGAATTATGAAACCCCAAGATTTTATGCAGCTTTATAAATGCACTATTTTTTGAGGAAGAAGAGGAAGGGTCCAAGGCTTTCATGAGAATCTCAGAGATGGCCACAATACCAAAAGAAAACTCCAAGATAAAAAGCAAGTGCCTCTACAATCTGACACTTTCTCTTTACTCCCTTCCTATGTCACTCCTTGGTTCAAGCTACCTGTCTGAACCTGTCTTGCCTTTTCTGTCTCAGCTCATGTATGCATATCCAGAATGCCGTTTTCCCTGTACTTGTCTTAGTTCCAACCTTTCTTGAAGTTTCTGTTTAGATCTGACATTTTATGTAAAATATTTCTATCAAGGGGTTAACCTTCCAAACATCTACATAATACTGTGCATTCTGTTCACTTGCATTTAACATGTGTATCTCTAGCCACGATTTTTAATTCTGGGACATGTGCACTGATTATTCCACCTAGGTTATAGATTCTTAATAAATATTGTCAATGGTGACAATAAAAAGCAATGTGTCCTTCAGGTCTCACCTTGGATGTTACTTCCTCAAAGAAATCTTTCTTTTTCTTTTAATTTTTTTTGACTCTGCGGTCTAGGTGAGTTTCCTCTATAACAGGTTCTCCAGGCTTCCCACACTTCTTCCTGAAAGGACTTAGCAGGGCTCCAGTAAATCATTCTGTGCTTGCTCATTTGTTTAATGTGTATCTCCCTCACCAGGCTGCGGGCTCCATGAAGACAGTGACTATGGCTGCTTCATTCACTTCTGTGTCCTTAATACCTGGCACATGATTTGCTGCATGAATGAATAAGTAAATATATAGTAATGCCTCATAAATGATGCAGGCAATGGAAAGTCTAGACATTTAAAAGAGGGGAAAATCGGCTTGGGTGGGATCAGCAGTCTTCAGGCACTGAATTGGATGTCCTTGGATGAGAAGCATTCAGTAGATAAAGGCAATGAGGATGCTGCAAGCTGAGACAATGGTGTAAACAAATTACAAACATCTGCCACCCACTGGGCGCCAGGCCATGTGATAAGTATTTCCCATGTACTCTCTTGTTTAGGAATCATCCTACAAAATAAGTACTCCTATAATCCTCATTTTATAAATGTGGAACAACGCAGAGGAGATTGATAACCTAGGCAAGGTTAATAGCCACAAGGGGAGAGATGGAAATATAACTATAGAACTTGAACGAGTGCGTGAGAGTGTTAGTAATATTTTATTCCCAATCACAATTAGGGAGGAGGGGAACAGGAACTTTTAGAGCCCGTGAAGTTATGTTTTTAAATTATAAGATAAATAATACCTAAAAAAGAATAGCTATGCTTTTTGGCCTCTTGCAATCATATTCACCTTACTCCCACAAAGAGGTAACCTTTCCTCTGACTCTCCTCTGACTCTCACTCTTTCTTTACAGTTTTCCCTTACATGACTCACTCCTTAAACGGTACCTATAATTTGACCTATTTTTGAATTTTATGTAAATGAATCATTTCAAAGTTTTTTTTTTTTTTGCCACTTGTCTTTTTGCTCAAATTCTGTCTGTGATGATCATTTGTGTTGGTATGTGCAGTTATAGTTCATTCATTTTTATGTAGCATTCCATTAGAAGAATAAAACACACTTTATGCATTCCCTTGTTGGGGGACATTTGAGTAGTTTCTTGCTGGGTAGTTTCCATTTGGGTATCTTGCTGTCCTGAACAATGCTCCCGTGAAGTTTTTGTACCCGTCTCCTGGTGTGCATTACAAGTTTCCTGAGGGTATGGTCCTAGAAATGGAGTTCCTGGAGCATAGGGTATGGTAGCATTAAAATTATTGGACGGTGCCAATGTGTTCTCCAATTTACACTCCCACTGGTGTGTATAAGCATTCCCACTGCTGAACATTTTCATCAACATTGGGATTGTAACATTTTTGGTGGGACATAAAGTGGTATCTCATAGTGATTTAAAATTGTATTACCCTGATTGGTAATGAGGTTGGACATACTTTCCTCTGTGTATTGGTTATTTACATTTCCTTTTTCACATTCTTCTACATGTTATTTGCCTGTTTTTTCTTAGATCTATTCTCTGCCCTTTTCTGTTTTGATTTCCAAATGGCTTCCTTGTACTTTCCAGAACCCCTTGCCTGTTGCCTTCTGCTTAGGGTCAGCTAATGGCCTGAGATGGGCATCTGGGAGGAGGAGAACTCAGGATATTTCTTTCCTCTCCACTTTCAGAGAAGACCAAGCAGTGGCTGTGTGTCTTTGTGGTTCTAGCTCCTACCTGGAAGCCCCAGCTTTTGTGTTCCCACTCCCACCAGGCAACCCCTCCCATGCTACCAGCTCCTTTTGGGTTCTCCAACGTTCTAGCTCCTACAGTATATCCTTGGTTTGTAACTGAGAAAATCCCTTCCCTGCCCCTCAGGACCCATGGATGGTAGTAGCTTGTTGTAGTTGTTGCTTTCTGGGTAGCCTCATAAGCACTTATTTTCAGCTCTTCCAATACTTCTGTAACTTGTTATTTCCCTATATTAAATTTCGCCAATTGTATTACCTAGTGTGGGTTTTGTTCTCCTTACTGAACGTTGATGATCTTGATTTTACATACAAAAGAATTGTACCTTGAGACAGCATCCAAAATTGAGTTAGATGTGGACTAGAGAAACAACACATAGAACATATTCAGCTGCATGAGGAGTTGTGGCATGAGGAGAGCCAGTGTAGTATTCCTATAAACTGCAGTTGTGAT